AAATCAATCCTTGCACGAAGCTAGGATCTAATCGTAATCAGATAAATAATTAATAAAATGTTTTATTATATGCTTTATTTATACTTTAGAACAATATGAAAGAAAGAAGAGAAATTTGGGTATAAAACTATTACAAAAAACATCATGAAAATTTTTATGCAAATCTCTATAATTTATTGTTAATTGATATGATTGATGCACATGTTTGTAGACTGCAAATCTGCTGAAACTACTAACACGTCTTCATGCATTGTGTTATACATACTAATATTAGAGATACACTACCAAAAACTACTCATAGACTAATAGAGACAAAAACACTAGAATTACAGTGTTTAATATTAACATAAATTCTAACTTGTTTGTATTTCAGCTCGGACAACTATCTCTAATACTATATCTATATTAGTTCATTCGAAGCTATATTCGCAAAACTAAATGTTTACTTCACGTCGTTCATTATTTATTTCATTCAATTCTGCATGCTTTTGTCCTTCTGTTTTCCTGAATAGTCATTCGAAGAATTAGATTCAACATTCCTTGGGTCACGATAACTAGATTGCATATAATGGATTAGTCTATCGGACTTGTTTTTCTCAGATTTCAAACTCTGTTCTCTTTGAACCATCACCATTAGTAAAGAGCGATGATTAATGAGTTTCTCTAACAAAACTTAGAACCATGCTACTAGTACGGAAAGCGGCGGTAAAGGATAATAACGAAAGCGAAGATAAACACAATCGAAACTCCTTATGTTTTTACAAGATGTTATTACGCCTCGAAACGAGACGAAAGTTGTGCCAATAAGGAGTGCTGCGACTGGTCTATTATAAAAACCCTCCTTGACCTTTCCGAAATTTTGAATTCTTATTCCTCAAGGGGTTTGTAAAAGAGCTCCAATATATTCGTGCTTTAAGATACAAAATTGGATAACATTTGCATCAGTTTAGACTGATTTATGTTTTCCACACAATTAACTTGAAAATTCTTGGGGTGGTTACTGAGTGTTGTAGTAAGAACATTTCTCTACAAAATCAGGTGTTCTCTAACTCCGGAAGACTCTTAATAATCAAGTTATAACCGTCTTCTTGGATATCCTAGCGCCAGTTGTAGAACTAGTAACTATCCAATCCGGATTACCAAATAAAGAGAGAAAGTGAAAGAAAAAGAATATTGACTTTGTAAGTGAGAAAAAGAGCTGACTGAGTGTGACAAAAAAAGTTTAATAATAAAGATCAAACAACTGATGTAAAAGTCATGCACCGTAAGTGTTTTTTCGAGAAACGTGTTGTAGTTATGTCAGAACTATATTCTATTGCTTAGTTTCCCCACACTTCATAAAGAAACCATTGATTTTCCAGGGTTTTCTCGTTATTTAAAACTCTTTAATATATTATTAAAGATTGTATTATTAAGTGCAAGATTTTTTCTTCGAGTAAGATTTCAACGTCTTCGGATAAATTAGTTTCAAACGAAACGGCTAGATTTGTCAAAGGGTGAATGGTTACAACTAATAGCGTCGTTTCTTGTACCATGTGCAATTGGTTTATTTACTATTGTAACCACGATGCAGCAATCTCATGCAAATAATGAAATCGTAAACAAGGTTTATATATTGCTGCAAGTCGACGTCAGCAAGATGAAGAAGTAAGACAAGATGCTATTTATGCTGCATATATTAAAGATATGAGAGAGTCTTTAATGGAAACTAATGATAATAATGATAAAACGGAGCATCAAAAATTTGCACGTGCTCAAACATTATCGGCCCTTCGACAATTAGATTCTAAACGTAAAACATATATTATTCAATTTTTAGTTGAGGCCGAGCTTTTGAGCACAAAGAAAGAATCCATTGATTTAAGTGGTGCTGATCTAGATGATATAGTACTATCGGGTAATATTGATTCTCTATACGATTTGAAAAGTATTAATTTGTGTAATATTATTATGACAAATGCTACATTTATTTATGTTGATTTATTTAATACAGATTTTAGTGGTTCAACATTAACTGGCTCGTGTTTTGTAAATGTATTCCTTTATTCTACAAATTTTGACAATTGTCAGTTAAGTCAAACATATATTGATGATATTGGAGGAGATCTAATTGTAAATATTGGAAATGCAAATTTAAGAGGAGCAATTTTTCGTGTATTAGATTATCATCTGTATAATACAATATTACCAAATGGTAGTTATATGAATAGCTATTGGTCAATTATAGACATTGATCATTTTAACAATGAAAATTTAGTGAAGAATGGTGACGCTGAAGTTGGTGAATGCAAAGGGTATATCTCATCAGCAAACGGTCCGCCATTTGCATGAGTAACATACGACGATTATGATGATGTAAGACAGTTAAATTATTCAGTATTACAATATTGTTTTATCTAAACAATAATCAATCAACAAGGTCAACATTTATTTTGGCATGGAAGACTTGATTATGCGGCAATTTTTCAAGCTATAGACGTTAATGATCTTTCAGTATTGATTGATACGAATAAGGCGTAATTTAATTTCTCAGCATATATTGGTGGAGTGGAAAATGAAACAAACGATACTATAGCAGAAATCGAATTTATTTTACCTAATTTAGACACAAAATTTTTTGTTTTAGGTAAGTGGAAATAGTGTTCAAAAACGTTTCTTCCTTTTAAACTTTGAAACAATTTATAGTCGAGTCAAAAACTAATTATTGCGACAGGGCTTCAAAAAAAACAATTTTTAGGCTCGAAATCATAGCGCTTTTTATACTCCGTCTATTGAGTTAATTTTTATGTTCTAGATCCCGTGACCAATGTTGAACGGCAAAATCATACACAGTTATTGTACAGCAATCTTGTTGGAATAATTCCTAAATATACTAAACGTATTTTGGTTCGAATAAAGTTCAATAAATACGATGCCAATAACTGCAATTCAGCGATGGTTGACAATGTACAGTTATTTAGTCGAGCCATCAACTACTGAGAGAATTATTTCTGTTCGGTGGAACAAGTTGATGACGCTTGCTATAATCCGTACCAAACAGAGTCACAGCGAATAATGCATATATATATACCATGATTACTAGGGAAAGAACGTCAACTGGTTTTCTGAATGTGCTTTTTCTTGTTTATTGGATTGCTTTGTAATGCAATCACTATACTATTTATTTGTCTTTTCTTGAATTACTAGTTGTTGTTTCGAGATTTGGGATATGTTCAGAAAAGGTGATTTGGTTGCGTTTATCCTTATATCTCTGATTTATTCTCTCTCATCCCAAAATAAATGTTGACCTTGTTGATTGATTATTGTTTAGATAAAACAATATTGTAATACTGAATAATTTAACTGTCTTTCAATTTGAAACTGAAAAAATACATTTTTTAGCAAAAGTTTGTATAGATGATGATGAAAAATCTATCGCTCCGGCTCAATAAATTTCTCTATTCGGAAACT